TTTTTCCCTTTTTTTTTTTTAAAGCCAGTTCGGATTCCTTAAAAATGTAAATTAGTTTCAAACTTTAATACTTCACCTTTGTTTCACGTTCATGTGGAGAAAAGACCATTGTTTTATGTGTGTTGTTGTACTTGCACCAATCATGTCTCAGATGAACGGCCAACAGTTGTATTAAAGACATAATTGTCCTAATTGTTTCTAATTTAGCTATTTGGAAAAGAAACATGTCATAAAAGATTTCCTAAAATGTCCCTACATCCGTGTTTTCAACCAATGAACAGTGTTGCATCAATGTGTTATCAGAAATGATCCAAAATCACCTTTAGCCAAAATTTAGAAATGCTTTAAACCATTTTTCAAACTTTAATTGTCTGAACAAACCATTTTGTACTAAATGCAGCGTCCATTAAAAGCTGCAGTTCTCTTTCTAGCACCAGTTTCAACTGTGCATGTGATTGTTCTTAAATGAGAAACGAGCCACGGTTCAGAGGTTGAAAACACTGCTTTAAATATCCGTATTACCAAGATCATGCAGTCAAAATCAATAATTCTAAACTTCTCCGCGTCTATAACTTTAAATAATAATACTAGTTTCAATAATAGAGCTCCTCTACTTTAAATATACTGCTGTTCTAATCTCCTTGTGTCTCATGCTAAAGCAAGAGTCTAATTAATTTTAACGATTGTCCTGTATTCTTTCATGCAGCTAAATGTGGTGTTATGAACGAATGACCTAGCTAAATGTGTAAATATGACTTAATATGTCTCTGTGCGTTTGTTGCCTGTCTGTATATTTACCTTCTGTGTGTCTCATTTAGGCCAGCCACGTCTCAAATGTCCGTTAATGTCTTTCTTTTACTCATGGCGTCTTTCAATGTCTTTTGTCTCAAAGTGTCCAATGTCTTTGCCTCAATGCCTTTTTTCTTCTTCTTTAAATCACTTTCTTCTCCCTGCAATGTCTTTTTCTTTTCAATCATTTTTTTGACGCACACCAGTGTGTGTCCTTCTTCTTCTTGTTTGGTTTACACAACGTTCTTCTCCGTGCACATAACTCCACTCGGTTTGTGCAAAAGTCTGGTTTTTCTCCATGAAATGGAGGCCGGAGAGGTCTTCTTCGAGAGTTCATGTTAGCTGCTGCAGCCGATGCTGCTGTCTTTGGTGCCCCCTGTGGGTCTGGGGGAGACGTTGATGGTCCGTGCTGATGGCGCCCGATTGTGGTTTGTGGCAGAGACGATTTTTGGCCAAATGAAACAGACAGAAGTTTTCTCGGAAAAACAGACAAACAAGAAGCACAAACAAGTGTATTAATTACCATACGAAACCAATGATTAATTACAATTCAAAATAAACCTATGAAATAATTAATATTAACATTTTAAACATTAAATTCTGAAAACCAATTCTGCATTCAACTGCTATCCTAAGCCCTATTTTTCCAAAAGCATAATGCTCTCTAAGATCATTCTAACTTTTATATCACCAAAATGTAGGGAAAAAAACTTGTCCAGATAAAAAATAAAAAATAAAATAATGCCTCTTTATAATCTAACTCAAAGTTCTGTGATCCTATGACTCCATGTCAGTAACATTATCGAGTGTATAAATGTAATTTTCTACAAGAAAAATTCTTTCTTCACGAGAGAGAGAAAGACAGAGAGAGAGAGAGAGAGAGAGAGGACAGAACGAGGGAGGGGAGTGGCTTCTCGAACAAAGGAACACATGGATGATTGAAATACACCCCTTCTTTGCTACATTTTCCTCGTTTTTATCGTGATATGGTCTTAATCAGTGGTAAAAGTTTTTCTCACGTCAAACGACACTTTACATTTTATCCTTAAATACGTCAGTAATGGAAAACATTACAATTTGCTTACATGACCAATGCATCACTAGGTACAGACGGATCCTGTTTTTTTTTTTTTCGTAATACCTCTGCAACTATTGAAACATTACATCACAATACAAGAGAAAAACTCCCAGACTGATCTTTTGTCATTTCTTCACATGAAAAACATAGTTACAGCCAAGTGGCTCCCTTTTTTCTCATTAATCAGATCATTATTATCAGAATCCACATTTTAAATACTTGGCTTTTTTCCTGTTTAAATTAATTGTACCCCTTTTTTTTTTTTCCCGCCCCCCGGGGGATATGGAGTTTTTATTATCCTATAACTTCTGACCCTAACTGTCCCTATTTTCTAATCCTATTTCTCTAAACACTTGTGCCTCTTTTGCACTTTAAAACGGTGTGCTTCTTTTGCACTCTAAACGGTGTGCCTCTTCTGCACTTATAAACTCTGTGGCTCTGATCCATCATCTATGTTCTGTTTTTTTTGGAGGGACCCATGCTTCCCCCAAGGCCAAAAACGTCTAAACCTGACTATTGTTCTATCGCGTCCGATAGAATCGCCCGTCACGGCGGTCGTCTGGCCACGCTGCAGTCCGCCGAGCCGAATTCTCTCTCTCTTCCATTTAAAACAATGTGCAGATTTTCAAAAGTAACGATCCGCTTACCTCTTTCGAAGAGAAGAGAGAAGAGAAGAGAGAATTCTCCCGGCCGACGGACCCAGTCTATATCTGAGCTCATCTTGCGTCTTCTTTCTGCATCAAATCACGTCTCGGGTCACCAAATGAAGCCAATAATTCCCTTTGGCTGACGTGTCCACAATTTGATACAGAAATCAGACAAAAAGATTCTCAAAGGTTAACATCTGCATTTAATTATCTTTACAATCAAATACAGAAATCAACAAAAGAGTGCTCCTAAAACTAGTATGTCCCTCTCCTGGCCCTCGGCTGATCCTTCTGTTTCTCCCCAAGCCAGAGCATATATAAAGAACAGGAAGGAGGGGAGTGTCCTATCAGCCAGCTTCCGGTCTAGGGTCCAGCCTTTTCCTCCGTCTGCCAGACTCCTGATGCAGTGAGGTTGAAAAGTGCAGAAGTCAGCAGGCCAAGACTAGGGGGGTGAAATCCAAACAGGAGAATCTGTTGTCCAGTTGCTGGCACAAGAAGACACCTAAAATAAAATAAGAAGGACTGGCCTCCCACTTAGAGGTTAGCTAGGTCATAAAACACATGGTTTTAGAATGTCACGTATTTATAAATACAACAGGACCAAAGGCTTCTATGTGTTTGTTATTATTGTATTTCCTGTGTTAAACTAGATTCTCTTGAGCCTACTTAAAGACCTTATGACGGGTTTGATTTATTTAGAAATACAGTTTTAATACCATTTTATATTAGGTATTAATATACCTAATATTAATACCTACCTTCAGAAACCGGAGAACTACAAAAGGTTTCAAAATCAGTTGTTTTTTTGTCTGATCCCCCCAAATCGAAATAACCCCATAGCAACGCCTTTAGAAACGAAAAAACTTCACAGCCCTTGGTGACGTCAGAGCGGGTACGTTTCAACGCTATAAGTTGTTTACAATTTGGTATTCGTTCTTTTTTCGCGGATATTCAAGATGACAAGGCCGTTTACAGCGAGTCTAAGATAACCAAGTTTCGTTGTCACTGAGATAGTCCAGTGGTTGTGTCGATGGACTGCCAATCCAGATACTTGGGTTCAAATCCCACCTCAGACACTTTTTCACACTCAAAACGGCAATTTATGTGTAGTGAGCAATTGTCACCTGTAGAGGGCAGTATTGTGTTGGGCATCAGTGGAGAGAAGAGAGAAAAGACAGTCCTGTGGCATAGATCCATGGTTTTCAATGCATGGGCGTAACCCGCTGTGACGTCACACACAGGTTAGAGCATAGACAACTTAAATTCATGAAAAACACGTTCTTTTTATATAAAATATAGAATTTTTTTGCCGGAATCTCTTTCAAATTGACATTGTCATGCAATTTTGATATCCACTATTTAAAAAAAAAAAAACCGTCATAAGGTCTTTAACCCTCTGATGCATGAATTATGAAAGCCTTGGTCAAGATTTTTTTCTGAAGTGATTTTATTCTTCTCAGGACATAAAAAA